ATAAAACCCCTGATATTCAACAAGAGAAGATCCTGAGCAGCTGAAAGAAAAGGAAAACAAATGGAATGCACCAAAAAAAAAAAAATCACAACAGGAATGTTTCTTGTTCCATAGCAAGAACAGCTGCTATCAAATATACCAGAGTTGTCCACTTCTAATACTAGTCTGAGCCTTACTTCGGTTCTCTAGCTGATATTGCCCCTCACCAGGCTTTCCCCTCACACCCCAAGGCAATGAGACAATGAAATGCAGTTGTAGAGAAAATATCTCGCAGAGAAGAAATAGCTTTCAAAATTTTAACAGGCTTTTTATGTTTTATACTTTCATTTTTCTGTTTTATAGAGCATTATCTTGCATATTTCCTTTTTCTCAAAAGCAATCTTTGATACCTGTTTTAACCCTTCAGTATTTTAGTGTAGAGTCAGCTAATTATTTTCTTACTGGCCACAAAAGTCAGCGGTGATCAGCTAAAACTAGATACCAGCAATAAAACTATGCCCATTAAAAAACAACAGGCTCATTAACTAAAATGAGTTCATTCAAACTTTTTTCTGGATTCTTTGGAATATAGGTCATTTTTTGCAGTTGTAGATCTGCAGCAAGATTAGATACTCCAATTAGGCAGGTAAGAAAATGGCAGGTATTCTGATTTTCTAAGGGGGCTATTGTGTTTTTTTCCTATTATGTGAAAGTGCATATATAATGAATTTCATTTATTATTCAGGGAGAATTTTTAAAGTCTTATGTAAGACTTTAAATGTTAAAAAAAATCAAAAATAAGGATCAACAACTTTTAAACTTCAAAGATGAATGGCAAGGAGGAATTAATTCTATTCTTTATATCAACAATGTTTTTATTCCTTTTTGAAATTAAGTTTTGACAATAAGGTGGTCAGCAGATATATAATACTCCATTTAAACTAGGAGAATAGCCTATATGTTACTAATGGTTGACCATCTTAAACAAAAACTGGAAAGAAATCTGCATCACAAAACTTTTAACAGTCTTTGACAGCTCTGATGTGATTGGAAGGACAAATTCACCCCTTGGTTTTGGGAAATGTAGTTGATTTCAGTGAAGGAGTCTCTGAGATGAGGAAGTTGGTGGGCCGGTAACACCTGTACCCGGAGGAGCAGAGGAAGGTAATCAGAAGATAAGAGGAAGGAACTAAGCATCCTCTCCAACCTGCATTTGGGCCCATTCACAGTTCAACGTGATGCCAACGTGATAATACTGTGTGTGCCTACACTGCTGGTCAGGCTGTGGACCTGGATCTGGTCTGTGATCTAATGGCCTGACTGACCATTCACATTCAGAATTCCCTCTGCATCCACTTTAATAAATAAGCTGACTCCAAGAGATCCCTACATAGTATAAATCATGCTCTGCCCTGTGATAATTTTGGGGGCAAAAAGTGATGCTTCATCATCGGCAATATCTCCAGTCACCAGTGTCTACCTTGGTGACTAACAGGGTAAAGTGTTTGCTGGAGTGTATATTATTCCCTAAGCTCTAAAGTGTTGGTTACTGCCTCTCAACTAAAGCATGGTGTTTGACCCTGTGAGCACTGTTTCAAGTGAACATCGCTTACTTTGCATTAAAAAACAGACTATTTGCACTAGTGCAGCCACTGACTGTGTCTCTACTGAAAAGATGTTTTGTGAATCCCCCTCTTAGCCATAACCAAAGATGTGAGTGTTCTCCCAGTTTTAGTGCAAGGTGAAACGTTAGTTTGCCTGCAGTGTTGATTTAAACTAACCCATTTTTCTTTGCCCTGAAAGGGAGCGCAAACAAAATGTTACCACCGTTCCGTTAGTGGTGTACCTCTTCAACTATGAAGCTCCTCAACTATTCTGCAAGAGCTTCTCTCTACTAAATATCAGTATCTTTGTACTTTCCACCCATGCAATATTTAGAGTTCAGTTTCCCTTCCATGGCCAGGAGACCTCATCCTCCTTTGCCCAGGAGGGTTTCCTGACCTGCCAGAGAAAGAAGTTGTGATCTCAGTTTCCCATGTGTGTGGACAGTAGGTGGTCCTATCCATGCTGGGGAAGATTTCAGTTTTGCAAAGTTTCTGCTAATAAGTTGGGGCTTTAAGCTTATTTACTTACATACTTCCAGTGTTAGGTCTAAAAGTGTGGGATGACTGACAGCAAAACACAATGTATTATAAAGGCTTTGGAAATAGTAAACCAAACATACATCAGGGCACCATTCCTTACATGTAGCTAATATATCACCATATTGCTCAAAAATTTGTTTGGAACTCGGACTCTAACACACGCACACAAAAAGAAAAATCCAAACAATTTTTTCTGTGCTTGTACTATGCAGCAAAATCACTATCGTGTATTTGGAATTCCATATTATTAACAATAGAGCCATTAATCAAGATGCAGAAGAGAAACAAAGGCCTCTGTATATATTAGTTTCACTGGGAAGTCTTGTCATTTTAAGCTTATCATAACTAAACAATATGAATGATCTATTTAAGGAGAGACTAGTGAAGACTGAACTTTAGTGAGTTGTCTATAGCAACTGAGCTCAAAGGCATCAAAATATGGACCTTTTACTGTACTCTTGTTCTGCTCTAGAAGGTATATTTATGAAGTCTTTGCTTGAGAGGAAAATGTTGCTATCACTCTAAAAGCTTGCTTTAATAAAACAAAATCTTTGACATTTCCTAATAGAAATGAAGATTTTTTTCAGTTCCTTTTTATATTTAAGAATATATTTCCATTAATCAAGTAGCTGACTAAATTTAAGGCATTGTAGTTAACCTTCATTGAAATGCATGAATAATGCAATTTTGATTTTTAATATTCTCATGTAGTAGCCTATGTATTTTATTTTGCATAGAAAGCTCTATTCTCTTGTTTAGCTAATTCCATTTAAAAATTGAACAGAATTCTTCAGTGCTTTGAGTGAATTGCAACACACTCCCCTCAAAAAGTTAGGAATCTGTTGCTGCTTTCTGGCAGTGACCTGACACTTGAAAGCCCAGTCTTTCCTTCCAGTAGTAGGAATGGAATACCAGAAAAAGAAAAAAAATTAGTTGAGGTTGGATTCACTGTACAAATACATCAAGGATCAGATCAAACTCAAGAACATCTCCGCTTGTCTTATTAGAAAATAAATGAGACTTCCGTGTAACATGAAAAATGTAGTAAAAATATTTACTTCTTGGCTATGAGCAAGGACTATTTTTGCCCTGCTCACCATAGCTAATATGTCCCACATTGACTCACAGCCTATCCCCTTATACGTGGGAGTTCAGCAAATTTCACATTTATATTCCATAATGATTAATTTTATTGACTAACTGAGTTAGGAGTACTCATTTCAATACTTAGTGTCTGAGTGGGGTAGCTAAAGTCTAAAACAAGACCTGAACAAGGAAAATATGTTCTAAAATGTTAATTTCTTCAACAGGCACTTAAAAATTTTGGTATGAATCAAGGCCTAAAAATTATGGACCTCTTAACAAATAGATACAACTGTATTTTTAAATTTATGGGGCAAGGACCTCAAGTGTTTCAAATCTTCAGCAGTAATTCAGGAATGGATAGTTCACCTTATTACTGTGTTACCTTTTTATAAATGAAATAAAATAGCCCCACTTTAGACTTAGGGAAAAAGATCTATTTTACAGTACCAATCAATTAGATTTGTTTTGATAGCAACAGCAAATATAGTGTTTCATCATCAATTTCCATTTTCCTTTCTAAAAAACTGGCTTCAGTTCACCTTCCAGTCATTTAAACTCCTCTCTTTTCAGTCTCTGTTTTTTATGCACCTTAAAAACTGTTCTTTCTTCCCTAGCATTAGAAGGTTTGACCCTTACTTTTATATTTCACAAACATTAGTCTTCTACACGTACCTGTAATACAAATATGCTGATCACCAAAAGATAAAACAATATAGAAAATAACTAACATTTCCCATGCTGATTTCTGAATAGCCTCTATATTTCATTACAAAGATGTAGATAGATTATGATATAACTTTTGGGGGGTATATAGAGATTTTGAAGCTTTCTGGTGAACATGTATACGTCATGTATTCTACAACTATTGCAACAGGAGTAACATTGCACTATGATGTGATGTAAGACAGATGATACACTGTGATTCTGCATTTCCATTTTAATCACCGTGTGTATGATTAGTTGAAGTCAGTGGAATACAAAACCAGAAATCATTTTATGATCCACTAGCTGATTGAAGAGAGAGTTCAGCTTTGGGGTTCAACTGCTGGACCACACCTGTAGGTAGCTTCTGTTTGCTCCTTTGGAAGGCTTAACTTCCAGAAATACCTTGTCTCTGTGTGTGTGGGGAGTAGCTTTGCAGAAGCTTTGTATAAACGGAAGTAACATTACAGTTTTTAACTTATTCTTCCCAGGCATATTTCATTCACACAAATTTGAAAAAGTATTCTAAAGATAATGGAAAGTAAGAACTATTTGGCAAAACTCTTCTGCTTAATGTAGTAGCTTCATTTCTACACATTGTTTTTCTTCCATTATTTTCTTTCTTTTGGTCTCAAATGGAAGTAAAAAATCAAATGTATTTCTATTATCTTTTCGTGATTCAACTCCTCATCTTATTAACATACCAACTGCGTTAAATGTTGGTGCTTTAGCTTAAAAGCTAGAAGCTCAAAACATCAAATTAATTCTAAGCTGGCAGACTAGTGCAGTGATTTTTCCAGAGCTGACTGTACTGCCACCACACTATGTATTCATTCTCTGCTGAAAGTGAAGGAGGAAGGGTTTTTTTCACCCTGAGACAGACAGGTTGCCTGTGTAGAGAAGTAGAAGGTGAATTCTGTAAATTTTTGTGGGAGGATAAAGAAATGGATCCGAACACCATCCGCATTTTATTTTTGTGAAGCTTTCAGCCAAAACCCTAGAGAATTTTGACAGCCATTAGCAGTAGCAGCACTTTGTTCTTTCAAGTTTAGATATTTACAAAACATATCTTTTCTCTTCTGTTTTTAGCACAAGAAGAATGGGCCACAACCCGTTCCAGCCTAAAGGCACCACCTCCAAGGTCAGCCAGAGGGGGTTACAGGGAACACCCCTATGGTAGATATTGAAGGTCCTCCTCATCTGTGACCTCATCTCAAAGACAATTAATAGCCTGTGGTCTCCACATAAACAGCAACAAGACAAGTAATAGTCCATTTCTTTTCTATCCTAGGGATTACTGCTCATTATTATCCTATGTACTACTTGTATTTCCTATAATATTGGAGTGACATTGGCATTAGTATTATTTTATAACACGGACTTAAAAAAAACAGAGACAAAAAACCTTCGGCAAGCATTGTCTATAAACCATTCAAAGATGATGTTCTGTTGGTTGTATTCATTGCTGTGTGTAACTTAAAAAGCATGACACTGTTACAGATCTTGAGTCTCTCTACATACTAGCTAAGGCTGAGTTTTTGTTCAGGGTTGCTGGAAGACTGTAATATGATTCTTTTTTTTCCTTTTTTTTTGAACCGGACAATAATCAAGCTGTAGATAAGATGTTTTAACCTGTCTTTTTTAATATATGTTAGTTTAGATTAAGATGTTCGATATTAAGTTTGTAAATTTAATTTTAAATGCTGTTTTAATGGGGTTGAAAACAAGCAGCTACTGTATGTATGTAGCTAACTGAATTTGTTCAGTGTTTTAACCTGTATTTGTTAAAAAAAATCACATAAAGTTCCATGTGTAAGCTTCTCTAAATAGGAAACCATAATTTTGTCAAATATGTTTGCCATAATTTGTCAATAAAGCTGAAACCTTTTGTAACAAACTAAATTTGGAATTACTTGTTTTCTAGCTTTAAATGCCTGCTTTATTTCTTTTTCAAGAGATGCCTAAAATGTTTTTTATATAAAAATTACAAAAATGAACCCAAGCCTGTTTTAAGATTTTTTGTGTAAGACTTTAAAAGTTGTATTAATAACTTCTGGTTGTTAAATAATTTAAAAGTTAACAAACTAAACTGTTACATGAATCATGGTTAGTATCCACTAATGTATAACATGTTAATGGAAAAAAATGCTTTAGAACAATAAATGGATTTTAAACTATCCTCTAAGCTTGATCTTGCTAAACACAAACTCTGATTGACTTGTTTGTATTAGCATGTCTCTCGTGAGAATGTAATGGAGTTTAAAGAGGTAAGATTACCACTTACCACTGTTAGACTGTCTAAATGCTAGTTCTTCAACCTTTGAGTTTCCCCGCACATTAAATATCCCATTCAACATGTAAGCATTGCATAGATTCACCTATTTGTTTTCACTCAGAAGAGTGCGTTGACTGCATTTTTCGTAGTATACAACAATTTGTCTTGATAAACAAATCATCAGTGTCACTGCCCAGTTGTTGGTACTCAACTTCAAAAACTTTATTTGTAATTTTCAGTGCTAAATATCATCGCCCTTGAAGGCAGTTTAGAGGGCTGATATTTCTTTTGAGACTATCAGACTTGATGGCTGATGATTATTAAGGAAATATGTCGCAGGACTCAAAGGATGACTAAACGTTAAACAGGTAACACTAATAGTAACTCTGTAATTTTGAGTATGCAACAGTAATGTTAAATATTCTCAGTTATTAAGTTACTGATAGTTAAAAAAGTAAACCTACCAAAAGATAACAAATAGGTATATAGGCTATTAAAACCACTAATTAACATTAACTAGTGACAACAAAATTATTCTACAATATATAACCCTCAAGGTAATAAACAGAACTAAAATTAACAATAATAGTAATGCAACTCTTGCTAACAACAAATATATAACCTAAATTTTGATGAAGAAAAAAAAAAAAAAAGAACAGAAGACTTGATGGTAGGGATGCCAAAACTGTTAATCCTTTAAATACAGTCTTTTTGCTTACAGTGGCTTTTTGTCAATGTGATTGGTTTACTTTTTTGATGAGAATAAAGTACAGGCCTACTGCTGTTCAGTTTGTGAACAAAATCTTTTGCAGCTGGAGTTGCATGCTAACTCTTTTCGAATAGTTTATGAAGCGTATGTTTTGTCGTTTGAAGTGTTAAACTGAATTGAGAAGGCTACATGATGGTTATATTGAGTTTATTCTGTCTCACTGTTTCAGGGACTCACAGGCACTGGACAGCTAAGCGACAGATCTGCTGAGAAGTGGTCAGGTAAGCTCTGCTGCATCTCAGGGATTTTTCCTATTTTCTATTTTACCTGTGCATTTGTTTTTACTAACACAGAAATATGTTCAGCTGAATTTTTAAAATAAAGAATTCTTTCCAGCAGTGTTTCCCTGCATAGCAGCATAGTGATTATGGTATAATGGCAATCAAAGCATTTGCTTTTATATGGTTAGGATACCCTTCATTTAAATGAAAGAAGTCTTGTCATCTTAGCCTTATAATGGTAAATATTAAGATGGTGCACTTTATAACTGCTCCTGCTAAACACAAGAGCTGGTGTTTATTAAAAGCATGCCTACAATTTGGAAACAAACTAGTCACTTGACTTAAAAAACAAAACCATACTGGCTTACCTTTGCTTCTCAAAATATTTATCATTTCTTCATATGACAAAAGTATCTATAAAGAGACAGGAAGTTTGTTATTTATTCTTTTGCTTGGTAGGTTTTCCTTCGTATGCTTTAGATTGGCAGAGACATTAATGGCATTACCATGCAATAGCATGGATCAAGGCACAACTTGCTATATTTGTTTGTTATATCCATTTAAAGATAAAGGTGTATCTTGGATAACCTTCTTATGTAGACTTCAGATTATATACTAGATTTTTGATTGAAGACAAATGTAATTGCTGGAAACATTAAAAAAAGATTCAGCTCAGACACAACTTCTTCCACTCACCCACAAGTGCCAACCTAATCACAATACAAAAAGTACAAATTCTCTTCCTCTCTCATGATTGTTAAATTAGATAAGAGTTAATAAACAGAACTGATGGTGTTGCACACCAAATACACAATCCTAGACACATTTATTACTCTGGCATCTTTTCCCGTGATTATGGTCTGGCCGATTTAATGTTTCCCAGCTATTGGTGTATTCAGTGGTCACTTACAAGCCACAAGTTGTGTTGTGTAACAAGATATCAAGGGCTTAATTTTCCTCTCCAAAGGGTTGCCTCAAGACCTTTATAAATGGGTTTGATTTATGTGCTACAACCACTCTACAAGCCAAAGTGATATAACGTGGCATTAAGATTTGCCTGCATATTGCAGTCACATCAGTGTACCTCTATAGTAAAAAGCTGCCACCCACCCACCTTGCATACAGTTATACGAATGTGCTTCAGTCAGTCTATTTTACATCTATACAGACAGGAAAAACACACTCCACTGCTATAAATACAGTTTTGTACTGGTATAACTGTGATTACAGATTATTATACACTATAGATTTTACTGTATAAGTACTTCAGGAAATGCTCATATGCCTTACTGAAATTCTTAATTACACAAAACTGTAAGTAAATCATACCTGATGTAAGTGAGATCCAGGGCAAAGTACATAAAATTAATTTCTCACTTGTGCATCAGATTTTTATGTGAGGGTAAATAGTGTGAACTCCTTGAGGACAAACTCCAATGAATACAGCTTTATAGCAGAGCAGTGCCCTTTAATATTATTGTCTCAAAGTCCACTTCATATCCGTTATTTGTGTAGATTAAAAAAAATGCAGAATATGTCTGTGAAATATTCTCATACAAGAATTATTTAGAAGTAGGTTAGTCAGTGCTAGGAACTGTTTGTTCAAGCATTTGTTCTATTGATTTTCAGGAAACTAGTATGAAAAATTACCCATGACCACATGAGCTGTTCTGTGCTAACTACAAAGTATATTTCACACCAGTTTCTGAAAAAGTCTAACTGTTAATCAGCTATGTTTTACTAAAGAAATTCACCTGAATTTGTGAAAGAGTAACAAAAGAGTCTGGTTATTCTAATTAACAGTCATCTTTAGGTCTTCCGTGAAAAGCTATAGTGTATTCCACACATCCACCAGTCAGGTCAGCCGTAATTCTGACATCCTGAAAACTTACACACATCATCAGAAAATGCAGAACTTCACTTGTGCTACAAATGATTCCAAGACACTACTCACCAACCAAACATTTTATTTGGATGAATTCACATACCAGGTACTTTTGTTTGTAATAGGAAGAAAAACTAGTATCAAATATCAAAACAAGAAGTAAAAAATGCTGGAAAAGAGAACCAGAGTTGAAAAAGCAAAATTTCTATTAAAAGGTTTCTAAGATTGTTTTTGTTCAGTTTGCTATCTAAACGAGAGTAATGCATTATAAATTGCAGTGCTTAAAACTGTAGAATATAGTATTTTACATAATTACACTAAAATATTCTTAATTGTACGTCTGCGGCATCAAGCTAAATATTCTTTTCATTGCTTTCTTTTTAAAATGGAGTTGTCTACTTTTGAAAAATTCTTTGCTTTCATGAGATAGCAGATAGTATGCGTGCTCCTGGGTGAAAACCCTTATTGCCCTAAATAGATAGGCTATTGTATTATAAATGCAAGCAGTGCATTTTTTGTTATGAATAGAATCAATGAGCCAGTTTTGAAACTGGTGATTTCTGGAGGTGGGTTATGAAACATTTGAGAGTCCGCATCGTTGAAATGGTGATGGGGTAGCAGAGTGGATTGCACATGGACAGAATCTGTAGCTTCATATGTCATACTGACACAGATTCACTTGCTGGAAATTTAGTCTGGGAGGAGGGAGCGATTTTCAGGTCCAGATAGAAACAGAGTAGGAAGAAAGTGTCAAGAGGCTGAGAGTGTTGTCACCTGCTGGAGCAGAACCCACAGAGCTGCACCACCAGGGACAAGCTCCTGGAAAAGTAACAGATGAGGAAATATTGCAGTACTGGAATGTTTTGTCTAGCGGACTTGTTGCATGTATTCAAGAGCCATTCTAACTGGAAAAATTAGATATCCCTAGAGTAGCAACCTTTATCAGAAAATGAAGTAGCACCATGTAACCATTTCTGTCCTATATGGCTTGTCTTACATTGTTTAAACAGGAAGATCGTAAGTCTTCATACAAATAAATGAAGAACCTTAGGAAATACAGTATACCTGACCTCACCTCAAAGGATATTGACCATGTTTTCCTACCTCAATGAAGTCCTCAACCTCCATTCAGAATAATAGAGCTATAGGCATAAAGCTAGGAGATATTCCTTACTGCACATGCCCCATTCAGCCTATAACCCAGCAGTAATTACTCCGTTATACTTGAACATGTGCTGACTTCTAAACCGAGTAACACCGATGCTAGCTGAAGTGAGTGAGTGCATGTAAAACAGATCATGGTGTCTATGGTAGCTCTGAAGGAATGGATGTGAAGACCTGGTCACTAAGCACAGCAGGCTGGAAGAGTCTGTGTCTCCCTATTGCAAGGGAGCTTCAGACCGCACCCAGGACTAAAGGACTGAGCTGAGTATTTGGATTGTAGTAAAGCAACCAAGTTACCATTAGAATCATGATAAAGAACATATATGAGTGTATCAGTTAAAAGGCTTAACATTTTATCACAAGAATATGGATTTATGGTAGTCCTCATGAAATATCATCCAGGATTGTTATCTGAAGGTTAAAATCAAGAACAAGTAAATGATTTCTTGTGTTCAGATAAAAAACAATTTGGTCTACATTAGTGATGTATTTCCTTCGTGATTAACAGTAGGAGTGTTGTTTCATGTACTGTCTTTCTAGAAGTCCTAAGTTTTGCGAGAGTCAAACAATGCAGTTACAAAATTATAGTTGGTGCCAAAGGAGAGTCATAGAATCTGCTAAACATGAGAGAGAAAAAGTCTTTGTTAACATCAGAAAGAAGAATATCATCCATTAAGGAAAAGAAATCCTAGAAATTTATCCGTATTGTATTATATTAACTTGCAGAAGCAAGTTAAGTCAAGAAAGTATAAAGATTAAATAGAGACGTCACTGGATATCAGTCTTCTGTTACTTAGAGAGACCACATACTCTGTAAGTTTACTGGTACATTTCCTTTCTTTCATGGAAAAATACTATCTAAAAT